GAAACTTGTCCCTGCCCATCGATTGATTGGAAACATTGCCTTTACACCAAGGCTTTGAGCCAGATCTTCCAATATCACTCATGGCCAACAAAGGGAAATGGGAACAGATCGCAATCTGTAAAAGGTAGATGCACTGGGATAATTAGGATGGGGGAATATCACAGGTTGATGTCCTGCTGGAAATTTAACCTCCCTCCTAGGCAGTACTTGTGGAGTGCTTGTTGCATAGCAACCAAATCTCTTGACTGGTAGAGCCGGAAGCAACGTCCCCTGCTCAAAGATGGTGGTAGATCCGGGTGCTTTGAAAGTATCTCATTCTCCCCAGACAGGGCAAGAGTTCCTTGGGCACAGGAAGAGAAACTGAGGCCTGGTAGTCCTTCCTTACTTTGGGCAGGCCGGTGCCCAGATGAAAATCATCAGGATTTGATTGCCAAGGAAAAGGAGCTCAGATACCAGAGCTGCAAGTCTGCACCAACACACAGAGCCACGCCGAAGCACTCTGTAGACCAGAGGGCACTGGAGAAACGCCCCTCTCGATCAGGCTCTCTCCTACAAGTCCTCCTGAGTGGGATGGCATTCTCTCCTCTGGGGCAGTGCTGACTTCCTGACCTGCCCCATCGCAGCCTTAGCCCTAGCGAACCGGGCACGTCTTCCTGCTGCCAGCAAAGGTCCTGTCTAACTGGTCCCATTGACAGAGAAGGAAAGCACCGCGTGCCAGTGCTCCTTCTGCTGCCCAGCGTCAGAGGCTGCGACAGTTTCGAGCTCTGAAAGAGCATGTGCCCCGTTGCCTTATTCTAACCCTCCAATGAGCACAGTCAGCTTTTACCACCCAGCAATTCACTCCTTACAGCAGACGGCGCAGTCAAGGAACCACCGCCCCTACCTGTATTTCAGGCACATCCGAGTGATGTGCAAGGGTTCTTTTAAGCTCTCCAGGGCTTTTTCCAACCTGATCTGAAAGTTGAGCAGATCCTCGGTTTCGTGCACAAGCTGCTCAAGTTTGTCATCTAGCTCCTTCTTCCAGAACTTGACCTCCTCGAGTCTCTGTTCTGAAGCACACAAGGAAGTGACACCCAGGTTAATCTCCTCCCACGGAAGCCGTCAAGCTACTCTTGTGATAATGTGCTTTTCTTTTTCAAACTTTGCAGCTTGGGGTTTCTTACCATCTTTATAAATGTTTGCTGGCAAAAATAAAGACATGTCTTCTTATCGCTATCAAATGTATCATTCTATGCTCACTAATTCTTCAATGTCCTCTGTTTCCATATGTGGCCAATGTGTTGGCAAGGTCATCTTTTCCCAGGATGCTGCAGTTTTATCTGTCGTAAATCAGATGAGGGCTTTATCTGTCATAAATCAGTTCTATCTGTCATAAATCAGCTGAGGGTGTACCTGTGGTTTTGTTTCTCTTTTAAGTTCCATTGGCTCCTCGGTCGATGCTGACCGTATGTACCCCACACTGTCTGAGTCATCAGGGTTTTCTCATAGGCCTGGGAATCTACAGGGAAAGTTTTGTGTTTCTTTGTGTGTGTTTCTTCACAATAGTTATGCTTAGTCTCTCTCTTCTTTCTATAGCTGTATCTATTCTTGACCTTCAATATTTCCCTATGAATATTAGAAGCAGTTCATTAATTTTATATAACAAAAGAACCCACTGAGATTTCCCTTTTAATCACATCTATACTAAATTGGGGGGAAACTGACAGTTAAGATATATTGAGTCTTCCAATCCACTAACATACAGGAAGGCTCCAAAAAGTTCATGGAAAAATTCCGAAAACTTTTCATTCTAATTTTCTGTGAACTGCTTGGAACCCCTTGCATGTGCCTGCCTTTTGAATGTGTCCCACTCCTTTTAATATTGATGTGTTGCTTTCTGTGTAACACCCTTGCACATGTCTTGTTAGGCTTGTCCCTGAGTATTTGATTTTGTTAATGCCATTATAAATAGCTAAGTTATTTTTCACGATTCAGTGGCTCACTAAAGTTAAGGTGCAGACTTTGAGAATGTTTCTCCCGCGCCTACTGAGACGCAGTGATGGTGGAAAATGAGTAGAGCAGCTTCTTCTTGAGCACTTACCTAGTCGCACAGTTATTTAGAACGGTCCTGAGATAGGCTGGCAGTAGGAGGGAGGGTCAGCCCATCAGGAAAAGTCTAACAGTTAATATTGCTGGCCAGAATGACGTTGTGGTTTATTGGTGATCAAACCCTACCAGTCCTCCATGAGATGTGATCCATACATGTGTTTGCATGGCCTGCCCAGTGTTAAAACCAAACCCACGGGCATAGAGTTGACCCTTTCCTATAGCAGCCCTACAGGCTTCTCACAGCTGTAACTCCTCACAGGAACAGATAGCCTTGCTCTATCTCCTGCAGAGCAACTGGTGAGTTTGAACTGCCAACCTTGCATTGCCCAGTGTTATAAATAGATTTAAACCAATGGTTCATGTAGGCAGTCCTCAGCTTAGGAAGGGGTACCATCCCTCCATCTGTCTTTAATTCAAGTGTGTGCATAAGTCAGAACAGTCAGGTATGATTTAATCCAATTTTGTCTTCTTTGTAGTATGCAGCATACCATTTGATGCTTAAAATCGTTAATAAAACATGTACCGATATGCCAAAGCATCTTTAGCATAATAATACCCTGGTGATCATGTTTGGTATGCATTACACTAAGTAGCGCCACTTTGTTTTAACAAACCATTGCACATACAGCAGAGGGTTACTATAATAGGCTTTACATGGGTTGGACAGTTTTAAGTATGTAAGGCAGACACCTGTAACGGGGG